ATATTTTATCTTTGGCGTAGGGAGGTGGCGGTCCCATCGCCCGGTCATTGTACCGCAACCAGCCACTGGCCCTCCAGGTTGGGGGAACACTTACACGAACACTCACACACCAAGTACACTTTAGACAGCACACTACAACACCTAAACACTACAGACAAAGGTCACCTACAGTACACACCCTAGGGTCACCTTCCCTAGGTAGCCGCCCCGGATGGGGGAGCTAGTCAGGATGCTCGGAGGAGGCAGCCCCTCTACCTGACTCGGGGGTAGTGGGCTGATAACGCACCCTCCCCCCCCTAAAGTACCTTATTAAGAAACCTCAAAGAGAAGAAGCCGGATTGAATTACGGTAACAGACCCAGGAAACGCCTAAATCACCTAAGAATTGGATTTTGGAACATTTTATCATTACATAGACTAGGAGCACTTCGTGCGCTCCTTGCAGAAGTGGACACATATAGAATCGACATAGCAGCTATCCAAGAGGTCCGATGGATAGGACAGGGAATTATGGAGAAGAAGTACCATACACTCTACTATAGCTGCCATGAAAAGCATCACGTCTTCGGTACCGGATTTGTTGTGAGAGGCAGAGCTCGACAGCTGGTGATGCGATTTACTCCCATTAACCAAAGGTTATGCTACATTCGGCTTAGAGGAAAATTTTTTAATTTCTCTCTAATTAACTACCATGCCCCAACAGAGGTGTCACCTGAGGAGGATAAGGAAACATTTTATGAAGAACTTGGACGCGTGACAGAAAGCTGCCCCAAAAATGATGTTAAAATCATTCTTGGTGACTTTAACGCCCAAGTTGGTAAGGAGGTGGCACTCATGCCGACCATAGGAACCCACAGCTTGCATAAGACCAGTAATGATAATGGGCTACGGATGGTGAACTTTGCTACATTGCACGGACTGGTTGTTGGAACAACTCTTTTTCCTCGAAAGAATATCCACAAAGCAACATGGATCTCTCCAAATGGGCAAACAACATCACAGATAGACCATGTACTTATTAGTGCCCGTCACAAGTCCAACATGATAAATGCAAGATCTTATTGAGGTGCAAATATGGACACGGATCACTATTTGAGCATTGCCGAGGTCAGATCACGAATTTCGCTGATTAAAAACCACCACCAACGACCAAAGAAGAAGATTGATGTAGCTAAACTTAAGGACTCAGACCACCAATATTCGTATCAACAAGCTGTGGAGACGAAACTTAATGAAGATGTAATTAATGACAGCTCTATGGTCGATGAACAGTGGAAGAGATGCAGCAACGCAATGAAACAGGCAGCAGAAGAATCTCTTGGCTACGAGACTAAATCTAGAAGGCCTCCATGGTTTGATGCTGAGTGCCTTCAAGCAGTAAAAGTGAAAAATGAAGCCTACAGAAAGAAGGTTCAGCGTCCCACAAGGCTCTCCCAAGAAACACATCGAAGAAAAAGACGCGAAGAGAAGAGATTATTCCGCGGAAAGAGAAGAGCTTGGGAAAACAAGAACATGGAGGATATAGAGGCATTGCGCGGCCAAAATGAAAGTCGGCTGTTTTTTCAGAGAATAAACGAGGATAGGGCAGTTTTTAGGCCCAGAGTGACGGCATGCAAAGACACGAATGGATCTCTTTTAAGCCACAAAGATGACGTACTAAGGAGATGGGTACAACATTTTAAAGACGCATTAAACAGAGGAACGGTGCCTGGAGAAGTAGGAGTAATGAAGGAAGACTCCCTGAATTCTATTGAACCCCCGGATGAGGAGGAAATGGAAAATGCCCTGATGAAATTGAAAAATGGAAAGGCGCCAGGCCCGGACGGAATCCAGTCAGAGCTGTTGAAATGTGGAGGTGAAGAACTCAAGAAAGCTCTGCATGATTTAATGTTGACCATCTGGGAGAGGGAAGCTATGCCTACGGAATGGGCAACAGCCATTATCTGCCCAATACATAAGAAAGGAGATCAAACAGAATGCGCTAACTATCGAGGAATCTCACTCCTTTCGTGTGCTTATAAGCTGCTCTCTAACATTCTTTTTGAGAGGATTCTCCCGTATTCTGAAAAGGAACTGGGGAAGTATCAGGCTGGATTTCGAAGAGGACGCTCAACCACTGATCAACTGTTCTCTCTGAGGATGATCCTAGAAAAGACTATGGAGCATAAGGTAGTCACCCACCATTTATTCCTAGACTTTAAAGCAGCATACGACAGCGTTGATAGAACGCAACTATACTGTGCCTTGGAGGAGCTAAGCATCCCTCAGAAGCTCGTACGCCTAATCAAGATGACCATGGACAGCTCGAGATGTAGAATACGCATCGGTTCTGACGACTCCGAAGAGTTTAAAGTGAGCAGTGGGGTTAGGCAAGGGGATGCCCTCGCCTGTCTATTGTTCAACTTGGCAGAGGAGAAAGCTGTAAGAGACTCCGGTATACAGACCAACGATATAATATTCAATCGCCTGACACAGCTTCTTGGTTTTGCTGATGATATTGACATAATAGGTAGGTCTGAACAGGCTCTCAGAGAAGCGTTTATAGGCCTTGAAGCAGCTGCAAGACCACTTGGTCTAGAAGTCAACGAGAGGAAAACTAAGTATATGAGAGTTGGTGGTGAGGTGGATCTGAACTCTCCATTTGAGGTAGGTTCTTTTAAGTTTGAGAGAGTAAAAGTTTTATATACCTTGGGTCTGAAATTAATAGCAAAAATGACATGGCTCAAGAAATACAAAGAAGGATCACGGCTGCCAATAGATGTGTCTATGGACTTGGCCGACACTTAAGAAGTAGGTACCTCTCAAAGAAGACCAAGCTGATCATATACAAGACTCTTGTTCGGCCTGTTTTGACATATGGCTCAGAGGCTTGGACGATGACCAAACACGATGAGATGAAGCTGAGTGTGTTTGAGCGAGGAGTCCTCAGAAGGATTTATGGTCCAGTAAAGGAGGGTGATGTCTGGAGGAAAAGAAAAAATAGGGAGCTCAGTTCTCTCTATGCAGGCATCGACGTAGTCACGTATATTAAACTGGCCAGACTAAGGTGGGCAGGGCATGTGGCTAGAATGAGCACCGTTGAGATACCCAAGAAAATAATGATGGAGGAGCTGCACCTCGCAAGACGGGTAGGAAGGCCGAGGACGAGGTGGTTGGACAACGTGGCCTATGATGCGAGAACCCTGCTTGGTGTACGGAACTGGAGAGCTGCAGCAGAAGACAGAGCCAACTGGCGGAGGCTCTTGGAGGAGGCCCAGTCTCGCTAACGGGATGTCGTGCCACACATGAATGAATGAAAATATTTTATCTGTCTGGATTTGTTATAAGGTAGACTATTTTTAATATCACGACTGCTAATGTGTAAGCACTAAACGAAGATCAAGTGTTCACGTGATCTTTGGTTTATCAGGTTGTCTGGCGAAGCGTATTTGTTCAACGCTCTGGCAGCAGGTAAAGTTCCATCAGGAAAACCTAATTAATCATGTGCCGATAGACAAGAGACGTTAGAGCTTCATACAAGAAGCTATCTATCGCAGAATAGATTGTGGTGAGTAAAAGTTATGAGCTGCGAGCGTCAGATTTTTACTTTCACTTATCTATATATGTAATATATAGTAAGGGAAAGTATTGCGATCGTGAAAATTTATTAATTTCAGTTTTCAACAGAAATACGCGTTTTGAGGTCCAAATAACCAAGTCCCGCAAAATGGTCTTTGTGTCGATGTGTTAACAGTCTAACTCAAAAACGAAAAGTCGTACGAAAGTGAAATTGTATATTTAAGATTTTTATATGCTAGGGATGTTACAGTAACTTTTTCGTCAAAATCTACTGACCGAAAGTTGCTCTTTATATCATAGGCTAAACACATTTTTACAATTTTCTGGGAAACTGCTCTAACGATTTTGATTAAATTCATTGTGTAAAATTAAGCAGTTTTAAATAAAATATAATTTTTATTCTGATTGATGTTCTCTAACAGGGGTTAAATGGTTAATTTTCAATATTAGCTTCCTCTAAAGTACCTTTAATTTTTTTTATTTGAAACAATTGACTATTTCACATTAATTTCTAATATAGAAGATAGTTAAATATAAAATATGAAATAACTTGATAATTAACTAAAGAAGAAATCAAAAACTCGTAACGGAGAATAGTTGTAATACATCGTACCTGAGCTCGCCCGAAACATTATAACGGTCTTCCAAACGTATCGTGAGATTAATATAATACGGACTCCGACAATATTCTATAAATATAAATATGCGGTTTTCATAAATGCTGTTGTTGGTATTATTTAATATTTAATTGTTTAGATTTCACCGATATAAATATTAAAATTTGTATATATAAAGATACTTATGCAAATATAAATATACTTAATTAATTATAGCGTCTATAATTTTTACTTTAATTTCTCCTTTGTCTGTAGATACTTATTTCTGCTTAGAAGAGGGTGGTAAGTGAAAGTTGTGTGATGCGCGCACCGCACCATATTTTTTTTTTCTGAAATGTGTTTATATTAAAATAATAAATATATTGTTGTTACATTCTGAAATTTTTCCATCATTTTAAATTTAATCTTTGATAATCGGAAGATTTTGATAATCCGAAAAGACAATACGATATAGGTGTTTAGATTATCAAGACAATCCAGTACTGAGCGCAAGACCCTTCGTTGGTTATTGTGTTGCAGATTTTTTTGTTATTTTTTATCTTAATACGAATTAATTAATTTATATAATAAATCGAGCATTTCAATTAATCCTTGCATCCATTCATTTATCAATTTGAACTGAATTGATGATCTCAAACGCTATGTTTTAAAAATATTCACTTGGCCAAAAAGAAAGTTATTTCAAATGTGATTTCACTGAATAGGTTAAATGTTTTTTTTTAATTACACATATCAGACAAATTATCTCAGATAAAAGGATATCTTCTAATATATTTGGAAGAATGGTGTATATAAAGCAGCTTACAAATAATGGCACGAACACACAATGAATCGGCTAAATCCTTTGCTATTGACCATTATTCTGCTTTTGGAACTGCTTGTAAGTAAACCGATGTTGACAAATGCGAGTCGTCAGCAAGACACCGTTCCAAGAGGTTAGTATAGAATTATAATGATAATATTTAAAACATAACCCACATCGAGAAATGGTCTACGTAACTAATTGAATTTGAGGGGGTTTACTTTTCATCAAGTGGTGCGAGAAAGTTTCGTTTTTTTTGCTTCCTCACTTTCGAAGGTAGAGAAGCTTTGTATTCGTCAGGGAGGTTATAAAAAAAAAAGTTTCAGACAACAAGAACCAAATTCGATTCGGTGTCTGTCTGTAATCAAAATGAAGTGACGGGCATATTACCTACTATCGTTTATCCGATTTTCATGAAATTGTCAGAGCTTATGCGTGTTGGTGCCTAGCTAATCCCATATCAACTGTAATTGTTCCTATATTTAAAAAAGGAGACAACAGGAAATGCAAAAATCACAAAGAACTCTCACTTTTGAGCATCCTCAGTAAAGTTTATTAAAAAAATTTAGAAAAAAAAATTGTGAAGCATTGTGGAACTACTACTAGAAGAACAATATGGATTTTGGAAAAAATAGGAGTACCAAGGATCTATTTGCAACCTGGCAGGCTTCTGTGATGCTCATAGATAAAAACAAAGAAGTCTACATTTGCTTTATTGATCTGATGAAAACTTTCGATGGTGTTGATGTCCAGGATGTTAAAAAAGTATTAAGAGAAAAAGGTGTGCTTCCGATTGGACACGCGTAAATGCATTTTATTAGATACGCCAATATTTCAGAAACAACTCAATCGATCAATCAAAGTTGAAAGAATGGAGGGCATTGGTAAAATAATGATGTTTTATCTATTTTATTGAATTCCATACAGTACTTTGCGTATGCGAAAATGTATTTTCTAAACCAATATTTCGGAAACTGCTCGTTTGATTTGGATAAACGTTGAAAAGAAAAATAATTTTATAGATAATAGTTCAGAGAATCGTTACCAGAAATGGACTTACCAGAGAAAAATTCTAAACTGTTATGTAACTATAGAGAGAAATACTTTATTAAAACCAATGCTGCCCTACTACATAGGGTTGCTTCGTACACAGCATACTTATCAATCTATACGGACATTAACTTTATATTATACTTTTCTATTTTATATATATATATATATATATATATATATATACATATATATATGACATATCTTTCCTTTCTTTTTTTTCTCTCCTTTCATAATAATACTCTTACAAATTATCAACAATAAAACCATATTAAACAATATACATTGCACAATAAACATTTCCGCAAGTTAAAAAAAAAATAATAAATAATTTTTTTCTCTAAATTCTCAAACGCCAGGAACTCATTACAACATCGCACACATATATGACACAGCAATCCCTCGAATGTAGACGAAAAAGACAAGACGATTATGGACCAATTCAAAATTTAATAAACAATTAATACATGACGTCCTCAATCTGTATATAGATGATAGTGGATGATCCTCAGGGTATCCAAAATAATATTTTCGGCCAAAATCGCGAGCTCCCCAACATCAACACCTAGTTCCTCGAGGAACCTCCTTGTTATTTCCCGGATCGTTCCGCGAGAACCAAACCAGAGACCTCTCACGGTTAACTCTCTCTCTCCGAAGGTCTCGCGGAATTTCTCTTTTATTTAACATAAATGTTTAACTTACTTATCGCAAAACTGTTAATAGTAAGGTATGGAACTGATCTCAAGAGACTATAGAAAGAACAATGATTTTAAAATTTCCTTTTGCTAACTTTGTTCATTCAGTTGTCAATAGAGGGCATTGTTCTTCAATATAGAAAAAAATTGGAACCTTTTAATCAACTAGGAAGCTTATTATTTACATTTAAAGTCCAATCTGTCTATCACCGGCATACCGTCCATAACAGCTGTTTATATGTTTGCGCAATTATGCACGTATAATCTCCATTAAAAAAAAAAAAAATACGTTTTTGTTTTAGTGATGGACACCTCGAAATTTAATTGTTCTAATAATGGACAAGGGGTCGGTACCAGTAATGGACATACATAAACAAATTTTTAAAATCTTTTTTTAACTATATTGTAATGATAAAGGGAAGAGAACATAAATGTTCAATTTACTCTAAGCAGAACTGTTAGTAGAAAGATATGAAACACACTGATCACAAAAGTACTATAGAAACAACAATGATAGGCATTTTTAAATTTTCATTTGAATACTTTATTCATACAATTGTCAATAAAGGACATTGTTCTTCAATCTAGAAAAACTAGAAACTTTAAAAATCAACAAGGAAGCTTATTATTTACATTTGAACTGCAACCTGTCACCTTAAAAAGGATAAAAAAAAAATTACTATGAAATATTATAATCTATATTGATTATTAATCTATTGAACATAGGTGGGGAATCTTTTTATCATCAGAGACCGCAGAAAAATTAGGCAGTGATAATAGAGTTCGCAACAATTTTTTATACTTTATATTTGCTATTTTTATTTATCACTAAAAACGCACACCCACATACATTCCCTGTCCTGTCTTAAATATTGATATAAAGAAATATATACAGGTTTCAACGGGAAAATTAATTTTTTCAAAACTTTATTAGAAAATAAATGTATATCTATAGAGAGTAAAACAAAAAAAAATGCCTCAAAATATCTCCCTTTTGCCTTGACACAGGCATTTAATCTTCGTGACCAGTCATCAATAGCAGCACAAAGTACTTCTTGAAGATAGCGCTCAACTGCTCGGACCAGAGATTGTTTAAAGCTTTCAAAGTTAGGATGTGCTTTTTGGCATGCCATCCTCTCCAGTTCGGAACGAAGCTGATAATCTAGTGGATTGAGATCAACGCTTCCTGGGGACCAATCCGAGGCAGAGATCAACTCTAGAATGTTCTTTTGCAGCCTCTGCTGAGTTGACATGGCCTTGTTAACTGTTGAGGAATCCTGCTGGAAAACCCAATGAATTCCAGCAAACAGAGTATCATTTAGAGGCTTGACAACAGATTCCAAAATATCTTTCTGATAGTTTTTAGCGGCTGTTTTAACTCCTTTTTCACAAAATTGGAACATTGTGGTGCCATCAAAGCAAACTCCCCACCAAACCATGACTGAGGAAGGGTGATGACCTATTTCCACTCTTCCAATGACTTCCTTGGTTTCTTTAGAGCTGTGTGCGTAGTACACGCGATCATTTTGGCGATTAAATGTTTCTTCAATTGAATTGTAAAAAAAAATTGTAAAAATTTTCTCATCACTAAACAAAATCTTTCGATGAAGACCATTGGTATTACGGCCAAGGAAATAAGTTAAGGTTTTTGAAAATAAAGTTTAGAAGGTTAAACAAGTCCAAGTTGCGTATTCAGTTAATATAATTGAAGTGATTACATCGCGGCTAATCAAATTGGATCGTAAAATTGTTGGGCTTAGTGATGAAAGAATTCCTAAAAAGTTGATATTTGTTGTACCGGATGGTAAACGTCCGAGAGATAGACCGAAGCGAAGGTGGTAAGATTGCGTTGAAGCCGATCTGAAGGGACTGGGTTTGGACAGCGAGCGGTGGAGGGAGGTGTGTAATAAGCGATTGGTGGTGTCGGCATCAAACCTCGGTGTTCGCTATGCTATCAGAGAAAGCTTGATCTGGCAATCTAGGAATTGCTTTTTCTTTTATCATATGAGTTATAGAAATTGTTAATATAATACACGATTCACCAATTGTCATATTTATTATAACACAATTATTAAAATGAAGGTTGAATTAATATTATTATTTGTTACGGATGAAGTCCATTTGTTGTCCAACTATAGGACAAAAACTACGTCGTTTTTTTTCGTCTCCAGAAAATGTTTAGTTTTTGTTCTTAAAGGCTTTTGCAGTATGGCTGGCGATATATTGCTTGTACTTATATTGCAATAGTTGAAAAATAAAATAAAGGATTTTTTTTTATTTATTCATGTTATTTACAACTGTATTGATAAATAAAATACATTTAGTAAATTTGATAACAGAAAATAATAAAATGAAACCACTTGTTGAGAAACTACCCACTGGTAGCACTCTAAAAACCAAATGTATTTACAATAAGAGATCTGGAGGCCATCTTCTTTTCAGACGCCTCGAAGGGTTATCAGGGATAGAAGAGAAAGCAAAGTTAGAGACGAGAGGATTCGGATCGTTCTGAAGTTTATTATGGAAGGATTGGTATCTGGATTGGGCCAAATCGGAAACATATGGAACATTAAGGTCTTTATGAATTATTTCATTGGTGACAAAGTAAGGAGCATTGAGGATTTTCCGAAGGATTTTAGATTGTAAGGATTGGATAAGAGAGGAATTCGATGGCTTAGTGGAGCCCCAAAGCTCACCTCCTTAAGTCCAAATAGGCCTTATTGTAATCATGTATATGAGTCTTTTGTAATTAATTGGAAGTTTAGAGCGTTTGTCTTGTAAGTGTTGAAGTAGTCGGAAACGTCGAGCTGTTTCTTGTCGTTTCAGTCCGGTATGAGGATTCTAAGTTAGACGTTTGTCCAAGCGAAGTCCAAGGTATCGGATTTGTTTAACAGGAATAAGTGGGTTATTATTAAAGGATACTGTGGGACATGAGGTCATAGGTTTACGTCGAAGGGTAAAGGTGATTTGATGGGGTTTATTAGAATTTATTTTAATCCTCCAGTTTTGACTCCATTCTTCATTTCTTGTGATGTGTGGTTGGGTCATGATTAACGGATAGGACACATGTATCATCGGCATACGTGATAATAACAGTGTTAGGATGGGTAGGGATGTCAGCTGTATAAACTGTGTAAATGATAGGACCTAGGATACTACTTTGAGGAACACCAGCGGACTAAGAAAAGAGGGATGAATAAGCATTATTGTGATTTACTTTGAAGTATCTATCAGTTAACTAGGAACGGATAATGAGGAAGTATATAGGATGTAGGAATTTACGGAGTTTGTAAAGCAGTCCTGGGTGTCAGATACGATCAAAAGCCAAAATAAATGATAAGAAAGAAAACTTAAATAATTATTAATTTTAGTGCAAGATTAATAAATATCGCGCAGAAACGTTTGAAAGCCACAGTTTTCCCACCTATTTTATAGACAATTCTAACACCTCAGGGAGAACTCACCCAATACAACAGATAGTTGATTATTATCACAGCTCATCATTTTTTTTTTCTTTTTTGGAATCTGTTTACTCATCATGCTGTACCATTATCATTTTTAATTTTTTCTTTTGTTGATATTTCAGAAAAGACTAAATTGGGGCTGAGATTCATGTTCTTGAAGTGTCCAAGTGGCCACTGCTGCCCTTTCTCTCTCTACTGCTGTTACGCAAACGCCTGTTGCAGTGGACCTGAGTATGTGTGATTGTTTGTTTCGTAATAAGGGCGCAACCAGGACGGGAGGGGACCATTGCTACTTAATTAATTTAATTCAGAATGTTTAAATACGATAATGGTTCCCTTTGTCAAATGAAAGGTGACGGTCAGGTTCAAGATCACACAGGACTACTACTAAAAGTACTATGTTGTTGGAACTGCCGATCACGACCACTGCTTTAACGTCTTATGACCGCTTGCGGTTGGCCTCTGTGTTAGAGGAATAGAAAGGAACTTGTTTCGTTGGCGCTGCTCGGCAGTCTAGGTATGACGTCATACCTAGACTGCTCCTATCTGACCGCTCGTGAAGCAGTGGAGCTGTTGGCGGTCCGGTGACTCTAGGTTATGTTATCATATCAGAGCATTGTTTTGATGATAACAGTCCCGTCGATAAGTTTTATTTCCTATGTTTCTTTCAAGCCTGGCAAAATTATACGAAATGTTGATTAAAACTTAAACAATGCAATAGTAAATTATTTTTTAAGGTTGAAGTAACAAGATTATTTATTTATTTATTCCACCAACAATATTTTAAAGAGAAATACAAATATACCTAAATCCAAACGATATTAAATAAATTAAAGAATCCAACAGATTTTGACATCAGGTAAATACTAAAATCCACCCATTGAAAAATCGATTTTTATTTTTTAATTAAAGTGGTGATTTAGTGATTACTATTGATAAAACGATAAAACATCGTCTGCTGTGATTTAATTACAAATATATGATATTAATTACTAATCAATTGTGTAATAATTACTATTACTTTTCAAACTAATAATATCTAATATCAGAGGGACTAATGTTGTTATGTTTTATTTCCTATGTTTCTTTCAAGTATGGCAAAATTATAAGAAATATTGTTTTAAACTTAAACAACGTAATATTAAATTATTTTTTTAAGTAACAAGATCATTTGTTTATTTATCCCATCAACATTAATTTATTTCGAATTTCAAATATACCTTTATCCAAACGATATGAAATAAATAAAAGAACTAAAATATAAATGAATAAAAAAGTGGTGGTAAGAGATAATAAGTCCGTTTTTTTATCTTCGAAGATAGAACAAAATGGTCGAAGGTTATAGGCAGGTTATAGGCAACCTCTGTGAGCAGCTTCAGCGAAATAACTACGCAACAGCGGCTGGCAGCGTGAAATAGCGGTCGCTATTTTTATTTGTATGCTTTTATTTATTTAATATAGTTTGGAGTTATTCATATTTGAATTTCGCTGTAAAATACTGTTGGTGCGATAAATAAATAAAAAATCTTGTTACTTCAACCTTAACAAAATAATTTAATATTGCGTTGTTAAAGTTTTGAACAATATTTCTTATACTTTTGCCAGACTTGAAGGAAAAATAGGAAATAAAACGTACTAAAGGTACTATTTCGCTGGCGCGGTTCACGACAGCGACCGCTATTCCACGCTGCCAACCGCTGTTAGCGTAGCTATTTCGCTGAAACTGCTCACTGGGGTTGTTATAACCTTCGAACATTTCGCTTATTTTCGAAAATAAAATGATGTACATATTATAATAATAAAAATGATCATCCTATAATAATGAACATCTCTGACTACCGCTTTTTTATTTAAGGAGAAAAAAGAAGAGAACATGTTGTTCATAAAGAGAAGGAATATCAGTATTTCGATGAGATGCTCATCATCAAATCCCTTCTTGGACATTGTTTGCTGTTTTGTCTAGATGAACAACCAAAAAAGAAGAAAAAGGCGGAACACGCCGTACTAACAACAATAGTCCCTCTGATATTAGATATTATTAGTTTGAAAAGTAATAGTAATTATTACATAATTGATTAATAATAAATATCATATATTTGTTATTAAATCACAGCAGGCGATGTTTTATAGTTTTATCAATAGTAATCAGTAAATCCCCACTTTAATTAAAAAATACAATTTTTCAATGAGTGGATTTTAGTATTTACCTGACTTTAAAATTTGTTGGATTCTTTAATTTATTTAATATCGTTTGGATTTAGGTATATTTGAATTTGGCTGTAAAATACTATTAGTGAGATAAATAAATAAATAATTGCAACTTCAACCTTAAAAAAAGAATTCACTATGTGTTGTTTAAGTTTTAAACAATATTTCTTATACTTTCTTATACTCTTGCCAGATTTGAAAGAAAAATAGGAAATACAACGTATCAACATAACTGTTATCATAGAAACAATGCTATGCTATGATCATAAGCAGATCCTACACGGTAATTCATGAATGAACGTCACAAGAAGTTCCAAGATTGCCCGCTATCGCTTTGATCATGAAGACCCTTACACGTTCAATCATTACTGATCATTACTTATGTGAAGTTTCCACTTTTTTTCTCTCTAATTTATTGTCTACTTTACTATTTAAAGAAAAAAAATAGTTGAAAATGGTTAATAATAATATAGACTAGGGATATAAACAACTATTTACTTCTATGAAATTATTTACTTAATAACGAGACCTAGGTAAACTAACCTATCTAGTAGTAAGGTTAGTCTCATAGAAAATCGTGTTGACAAAAGTTAGTAAAATATAAGTCTACTACTTACAAAAATTAAGGAAAGGAAATATTGCGAAAATAACTTAGAACCTCCGAACCGCCAACAGCTCCAGTGCTTCAAAAGCGGTCAGATATGACGTCATACCTAGACTGCCGAGCAGCTTCAACGAAATAAGTTCCTTTCTATTCCACTAAAGCAGTGGTCAACCGCAATCGGTCGCGGTCGTGGGCAGCGCCAGCGAAATAGTACCTTTAGTGGAATAGAAAGGATCCTATTTAGTTGGCAGTAAGGATGGGAGAGAAAACGCCAAACGTTTGAAAAGAACAGTTCTTGATCTCAAACGAATGAACTGTTCTTCCAAACGGATAACAACAGTTGGTTTTCTTTAGTTCACCCGTTTGTCACTTACAACATTAAATTTTGAATCGAAAAATTGAATTTACTATACCAAAGTATACAATTTAATTTACTTTTTTTTTCGTTTTTTTTTTCACTTATATCAGTGAAACTATGCGTTCTATCTATATAAATGTCATATGTGAAATTAAAGCTGATAAAATTTGCAATAGAAACGATTATATGAGTTTCTTTTACTATATTCTATAGTTTCCGAGATAAAGAGTCCTAGCAAATCACTAACTTCGGAAATGAATTGTTTGTCTCGTATTTTAATCGTTATTCGAGTCTCCAAATGTTTATCTTTTCATTTTACGAAAAAGTAATGAGGAAGAAAGTTGTTTAATATTAAATTTTCTTTAAGAACATATATTATATTACAATATTATCTTAAATCATTCAAAAGCTAGAACAATTATAACTTTATAATTAAGCTCAGAAACTATACAGAAAAACTTACTTTTCGCAATTTTTGTCATTACATAGCTCTTAATGTGAATATATATATATATTTTTTTTTTCCTACCCCCCCAGGAATTTCTTGATTATAAATACAATATATATATAAATGTATATGTACATAAATTTTCAAATTTCCTTTTATTGCCCAAGGGCATTTTAAGGTAAGAGGGCTATGCACGCTGTATGCGTTCTTTGCATCTGTGGCCAGAGGCCTTTTATTATACCACTTAATGTGTATATAATGTATACAGTATATATAAATATATATATATATATATATATATATATATATATATATACTGTATACATTATATACTGTATACTGTATATATACTGTATATATATATATATATATATATATATATCGTGTGACTTCATCGGGAATCTGAAATAGCTTGTGCTTTAGTGATCTTGAACCAGGACTGATCTGTAGCTTACATTTATTTATTATATTTATTGCTTCTTTATTTATTCCACTCAAGTTGGAGGGACTGTTATGCCCACCTTATCCTGGAATCGCCCATTAATGATAGTTTGATTTATTTTTATTTACTTTCACGAGTTAAAGCTGATTTTTTTTTTTTTTTTTACAGCGAAGTTAAAATGATGCAGACGCCATGCTAGATCTGATTAATCATCAAATGTGATTTAAATTAAAAGTTGTTATCTGATGCATATAATTCAAACACAAGAAACAGATGGCAACAAAAGAAACAAGAAACATGTTTAATAATTTCTGTATTATTAGAGAAACAAATAGGACGGACACTTGAAATCGCCTTTCCCTAACCTATTGAAAGTTCAAAAAAAAGAAGCAAAAGAAAATGAAAGAAGGCTTAAAATTCGTCAAAGGAAATGTTGGATGTAAACAAATTATTTCAATATTTCGAGGAACCATTAAATTCAGTATCTCTAGCAACACAAACAGAAAAAAATGTCTAAAACCGACACAAGTGCTTATCCAATCTCTCTTATCCAAACTTTTGAAAAACGAAAAGCAGATGGAATCGAATACTAACAACAAACAAAAAAACACAAGCTCTTAGAAACAACTGATTTAGACATACGTGTTTTCCATAATTTATAAAATGTATAAACGTACCTTATGTTGAATTGATGTGATTACAAACAACTCGATAATCAATGTAATTTTAATTAAATTATTTATTTTGAGGAATTTTAATTTTTTTTTTATAAATAATTTACAATTAAATCTGTGACATCCATCGCATTTTGGTACAATATTTACTTTTCTCTTTTGGAAAGACCTTGATTGGACGATGCCTAATTTTGAAACAAAAATGTATACAGGCTTCATACATAAACTCATGTCGTGAGTGGAGAATTTGGCAAGTGCCATATATACAAACTATAAAAGATCGTGGAACCATTGCCGTTTTAAACTTCTTGAAGGATTATAGGGATAGGTAGTGCTGGATAGGGATTGTGCAAACGGATTCGGATGACAGGTAAGGTTCTGAGGAAATTGCGTTATAACATCAGCATACCAAAGACTAAAAAGAATCTTGAAAATACTATGAAAAAAATGTAAATAGTTTTTTTTTCAATAGTCCTAAGGGAAATACTTATTTTCTGAGGTATATAAGTGAGATTTGTTAACAGTATTTATTCTCCCAAAACAATTATTCTTTATTATATTATGACGTTTCGGGATCTACTTTCATATCCCATCTTTAGAATAGAAATTAGAATATTTTCGTTATTTTTATTTATATAATCAACATAATATTTTTTATATAACTTTAAACAACAATAACAAAATTTTGCCAATCTTACTAGAATCTTCCTCCTATATCCTCTTATTTTTTATATGGTTTGTCATAATTATTTATTTTAATTTTTTATTAAAATTATTGCCATATTGCATTCCTAAAATGCAATAATTTTATAAAGGAAGGTGATGGTCCGGTGTGGCGGTCATAAATAGGCTAAATAGTGGTAAAACTATTTTATCAACAGCCAACATTTCGACCCGACTTTGCAGGTTCTCTTCAGGGTTAGAACGGACAAGTTACAAAAATATATAGAGAATTGTGGAAGTTACATAATATTTAAACAAAAAATTATAAACAATGTGAATAGGCTTACTAAAATTATAACAGTTACTTAGCTTACTCTGTTTATATTTTAATGTATTTACTGTTTATAAATTTAATAAGCTTATTCACATTGTTTATAATTTTTTGTCTAAATATTATGTGACTTCAACAATTCTCTTTGTATCTTCTCCGTTCTAGCCCTAAAGAAGACTTGCTAGTCGGGTCGAAACGTTGGCTTTTAATAAAATAGTTTTGCCACTATTTAGCCTATTTATGGCCGCCACACTGGACCATCTCCTTCCTTTATAATGCAACAGTCAACCATTAAATATGCAATAATTTTATGTTTTTATTTATTTTATTATTTCTATTTTATGTATTTAGCCATTTCTATAATGAATTTATTACCTTGAAATTATGATGCTGTCTCCTTTAGGGAGAGCCTAGGCAGATACTGAATCAAACCTTGAGCAAAGGGTAAAATTCCAAAGCTTTTATTTATTTTTATATATTTAATTTGTTAATTATATAACCATAATGACTCTCTATTTTAGCTGCATTAGTTTTAACTATTTAAATACATAAAATAGTAATAATAAAATAAATAAAAACATAAAATTATTGCATTTTAGGAATGAAATATGACCATAACATTTTTTTTTATTTTTTATTTCTTAATGACATTTACAACTGTTTTACATAAATACATCTAGTAAATTTGGACATAATAGATATAATGACATGAAAACACTTGCTGAGTAACTACCCAATGGTAGCACTCTAATGATATGACTGCATTAGGAGATCACGGGGCCATCTTCTTTTCAGACGCCTCGGAGGGTTATCAGGAATTGAAGAGGAAGCAAGGTTAGAAACGAGAGGGTTGGGATGATTCTGAAGTTTATTATGGAAGGATAGGTATCTGGATTGGGCCAGATCTGAAACATAAGGAACATTAAGATCTTTATGGATAATTTTATTAGTGACAAAGTAAGGAGCATTGAGGATTTTACGAAGGATTTTGGATTGTAAGGATTGGATACGAGAGGAATTCGATGGTTTAGTGGAGCCCCATAGCTCAACTCCAGATAAAAATTTAAAACAAATAATTATGACTAATCTCATAAAAAAATAACAGGATATAGGATGAAGATACTGGCAAGATTGGCAAATATAATATAATAATAATAAGTCATAATATAAGAAAGAATAATTGTTTTGGGAGAATAAATATTGTTAACAAATCTTACTTGTATACCTCAGTAAATAGTTTTTTTTTTCTGTAAATATTGAAGTGTTACAATGAGCTTTTGTAAACAGACACAATATTTCAAGGCGAATATTTAATACGTTAAATTATAAAAGGCTTGATAAGGAATAAAAATAAATGGAATAAGATATTTTAGATAATGTAAAAAAAAAAAAATTATGAGCTGGAATTTACAACGCGTTGTAAATATTTTGTTCTTCAATTTTTCCAACTGTTCTCTATTCGGCTTATGAGTAATTTTAAAAATATCAAGATTTCACATTCACAATCAAAAGTTTACTGTCTGCATAAGCAAACGAGTAGCAATGAAATGCTACTATTTCACCGGCCTAAAATACATCGAAGACATAATTAATAAACTTAGAGATGTATGGAATTTCAACCTAATAATATTAATTCAGTACTGATAAATATCGAAGTAATTATTTGCAAAAAATTTTGTTTAGTGAAGAAATAGCAAAACCATATGAAAATAAATATTGGTCGATTGCAATATTCCATTTAACATAATAGACCAAAATATATGTACAAATCGCTTTGCTTATTTTTAAACGCTGACATAATAACGGAACATAATAAACATAATAAAGACAAAATAAAGTCTGGCTCATCAGATTTTCTAAATTATTAAAAAAGTAAAATGTAAGAACAAACAAATACCATTAAGAAATAATGAAGTTAATATATCAGCCAGGAAAAAAGTGTAGTAGAATAGTAAATGCAATATCTTTAAAGAGGAATAAATTATTAAGTATGCCAAAACAAATGGAATGTATGTTTTTTAATAATTGTCCGATTTTTACTAACATTTTTTCTAGGTAATTTAGTAATTATTATAGGTAAAATAAAGAAAAAACGCATCATTTTTGTTTTTATAGTTTCTTTTCCTTCATAAATTTTTCGGCAGAACTTATGAGTTTCTATATGTTTATTAAACAAGAAATTTAAGTCTTTCGGAAATCTGAGCTTAATAACAGTACTGGTTAAAGTGTGTGATGTTGGCTACTCTGCCTATTCTGTATAGGTTGAAAGGATCGAGAAAAATGAAATAGATTGTGTAAAATCTTGTGCATAAGTTGTCGTCCAGCCATACGTCCGTGGATTTATTGTGGTTTTAATTCTTATAAAAATTAGCGTATCGCAACTCAAAATTTTCTTAGCTTTTTCTAATATTAAATATAACGATTGCAGATGTGGTGAATGCAGTAATAACTTGGTAAAGATGTGTTACAATCCATCAATGATGGATGGAGTCCAATGCTTTATTTTATTATAAGTTGATTATTAACATAATTGAGGTCATGTTTTAACTGAAGAAGTTTTTCTATTCTTCATTAATATTTAAATAAAAATGTGTATACCCATTTAAAAAATAATTAATGGGTATTTTAAAATTGGCTTTCATAATTTTTTTGTAGCAGTTTATTTAAGGGAATTAGGTTATAATTTACTGTGTTATCCCCTACACTTTTCACTCATTTACTGTCTATCGATTTTAGTTACTGCACTGTGTTAGTTTTCCTGTTTAGTCTTATTATGACAGTGCTATGAATTTTTAGGTCGCTTGAAGTATAATTTTTCAAGGAGAAGAATATCTTCAAAATGAGTGGTCAATCATTTTTTATTTTTTTTTTTTTTTATTTCTTTATTGAGTGTTATAACAATCTGTCTCTTGGACATTGGTTATAGTGAGGTAGGATGACATTCACACTATATGTACAAAAAAATAAAATAAATAGAACAAAACAATAATCAAAAGTATATACAATAGATAATAAAATAACATAAAAAACAAGAAAACTAAAACTAAGAAAAAAAAAACACATGCATAGAGTATATACAATCAGGCGAGGGAACTCCAGGAGAACCCTGCGCTACTCTCCCAACCGCGTCACTGGTACTAAAGCCAGCGGAGATTAGTCGAGAGCACTTTAGCCACATACACACATGTCTTGAGTGAAGAATCTGGCCATTGCCAGAACTCCAATGTATACAATCTACAAAAGGTCGTCAGGCCACTGCCGTTTCAACCTTCTTGGAGGATTATAAGGATTGTGCAAGAGGATTTGGGTGGTACGTAAGGTTTTGGTGAAATTTGGAGAATTTTTCTGGGATAAGGTCTAGGACAAATGGGATGTTGAGGTCATGATGTAGGGTTTTGTTGGTTACATAGAAAGTATAGAGCATAGAGCATCGACTATTGTTCGAAGGACTTTTGACTGGAAGGATTGGATGCGCTTGATGTTAGAAAATTTTGCTGATCCCCACAGTTCTAGTCCGTAAGTCCAAATAGGTTTCAGTATTGTCTTGTAGATCAGTAATTTGTTTTCAACGGAAAGTTTAGATTTTCTGCTTAGTATTCGGTATAGTTGGCCGTATCGTCGGTTGAGTTCTTGTCTTTTGTTGAGTCTAGTATGCGGGTTCCACGTTAGTCTTCGGTCTAAATGAAAGCCAAGATACCGGACTGTGCCTGAGTAAGGAAGCTGGATGGAATTAAAGAGTACTGGTGGACAGGAATTGCGTCGGAGTGTAAAGGTAATAAGTTGGCATTTAGATTTATTAACTTTAATGCGCCAGTTATTACACCAGTGCCAATCATTAAGTTATGGCGTACAGTAAAAAAAACACCTTTTAGAAATAATATATAGGATATTTCCTTTAAATTTCTCTTAACTACATTGTAGCGTATCCTATCAGCGTTAAGAGTCAAAGAGCTTCAAATAAAAAAATAATATATTTAAAAAAAAAAACGACAAATCATCATTTTGGGATTTCAATTTAGCAAATATGAGAACTGCCAAAACAAAGATAATTATAAAGTATTCGCAATAATAGCAGTTTCTATTGTTAACGTATCGAAAGCAATGAGGACTTTACAAGTAACACTTTTATTAATAATATCTGTTACAAATGGCATCTTGACAAACAGAAATATACTATAACAATATCGGTTGACTATAAGAGTTCACTCCAGGTCTCCTATAAAAGTATGACAACAAGATCATGGATCTAGGTCTCCTGGTAAGTGTA